TAGTTGACATCGCCCAGACTTTTGAGAGAGAAGCACGCCGAGAGTTGAGCTTCAAACTGAGCTAGAAAATCTGGAGAATTGCAGGTGAGGAGTAGATCGTCCACATACATCAAGAAGTAAGCGAGGACCGGTCCACGATGATACACAAAAAGAGAAGCATCATAGTGAGTTTTGACGAAGCCGCAAGTCTCGAGAAAGGTACTAAGCGTCTCATACCAAGCACGCGGGGCCTGACGGAGACCGTAGATAGCCCGACGAAGTCGACAGACATGTCGAGGAAACTGGGGGTCATGAAAACCAGGAGGTTGCGACATGTAAACTTCTTCCTTGAGGGGTCCTTGTAAGAATGCATTGTTGACGTCGAACTGAGAGACAGACCATCCATGAGAAAGGGCAACAGTGAACACCGTGCGGACTGTAACCGGTTTGAGAACAGGACTGAAAGTCTCAAAAAAATCAACACCCGGGCGTTGATGGAAGCCCTTGGCCACCAGACGAACTTTGAAGCGCTCAATAGAGCCATCAGGAAGATGTTTAACACGCCACACCCACCGATTGCCAACAACATTCATGTCAGGCTGTCTGGGAACAAGATCCCATGTATGATTTGCTCGAAGCGCATCATTTTCAGCATGGAGAGCTTGGCGCCACTCTTCATAGCGTAACGCCTCTTTGACTGAAGTGGTTTGAAGTGGAGGAGATACCTGCGAAGAAGAGACAGCTCCAAGGAACTTAGTGTTAGGTTTAAAAATACCATGTTGAGCACGTGTAGTCATGCGATGCCGAGGAGGTGGAGGCGGTGGTGGCGGTGGTGGCGACGACGGAGGAGTCTGCTGCTGAGATTCTGTTGCGGACGAAGGAGTTGTGGGCTCGGAGGGCGACGCTGTGTGACCAGGATCAGCTGCTGGCGTGATGGAGGGCTGAACTGCCGGTAGACGAGTAACTGGCGGAAGGAAAGCAGCCAGCCAGGAGTCCGAAGAAGGTGCTGCAGGGGGTGAACTAGAAGGAGAGACACCAGGAAATTCAGACTCGACAAACACAACATGACGAGATAGAAAAAGACGTCGAGACTGAGGATCAAGACACCTATAGGCACTTTGTTGATGAGAGTACCCGAGAAACACACAAGGACGAGACCTAGGATGAAGTTTAGACGCACTGTAAGGTCGAAGCCAAGGGTAGCAGAGACACCCAAAAACTCGCAACTTAGTGTAGTTGGGTGGTTCATTAAAAAGAACAGTGAACGGGACTCGACCTTTAAGAGAAGAAGATGGTAAACTATTGATGAGATAGACAGCAGTTGTAAAAGCGTAAGACCAATAGGACAATGGTAAATTGGCCTGATGAAGAAGAGTGATACCCGTTTCAACAAGATGTCGATGTTTCCGTTCAGCAAGCCCGTTATGCTCGGGAGTATATGGGGGAGTCAAAAGATGAGTGATTCCATGGTTGGCTAACTCGAGCTTGAGCTTCTGAAATTCACCCCCACCATCCGTGTATAAGCGACGAATAGTGGTTGCAAAGAAATTTTCAACAAGACGACGAAAGTCAAGAAAGACAACAAGAACATCTGATTTACGACGAATAGGATAGATCCATGTATAACGAGTAAAATGATCAACTAGAACGAGATAATAACAATATCCGTCAACAGAAGTGACAGGGGCAGGACCTCATACATCCGAATAAAGCAAATCAAACGGCCGAGAACTCGAAAGAGAGGAATCCCCGAAGGGTAACTTATGACTCTTATTCGACAAACAGGATGAACAATGAGACAGCACGGAGGACTTTAAACGAGGAAGGGAATAAACACGAAAGAGACGAGACATAGATTTAGATGACGGATGACCCAAACGACGATGCCAGGAGTCAGGAGTGACACGAGTGGTGACCAACGCCAACCGAACAGTTCTGGAATCGCCAGGCAGCTCATAGGTATCACCCTTGTTCCTTCCGGTCAGCAGCGAAGCCCCCGTGCTTAGATCCTTCACAACAAAATAGTTCGCAAAGAATTCAACAGAGACAGGGTTAGCACGACACAACTTGGCAACCGAAATTAGGCGTTTGCGAAGGGCAGGAACACAAAGAACATCACGAAGATTAAGAGAAGAGAGAGTAGTCGAGCCAATGTGAGAGATCTTTAACCCCGTACCGTCACCAAGATAGACTTCATCCGGACCGTTGTAGTCCGAATAAAGAGCAAGGTTGCCAAGATCATGAGTTACATGATGTGTCGCTGCCGAATCCATGAGCCAAGGTTCAGACGATGAAGCTTGAGTTTGCCGTGGCGCATTGGTAGTGTGATTGGCTTGAGGACGTCGCTGAGGATGTAGCTGGTAGCATTGTTTGGCCGTGTGACCAGGCTTGTCACAATATTGACACTGGATGCGAGGTCGGCGAGGAGATGAGTCTTCAGGAGAGGCTGGTTCCCAAGATGAGCCAGCTGAAGTGTTGGTACGACCAGCTCCCCGACCGGCCAAGCCACCACGACGTCCACGGGAGTTCCCAGGACCGTGACCACGCTGCGAGGCAAAGATGGTGGCAGGAGAATCACCACTGGAACGGCAAGCCTTGAGATCAGCTTCCAAGGACAGAAGACAATCAAGAAGATCATCAAGCGAAGGCGGAGATTCTCGAGCACGGATACCAGCAGCAAACTCCGTGTAATCAGGACCAAGACCTCGAAGACAGACGGTAACAAGTTCAGCATCTGAAGGGGGAGCACCAGCGAGAGCCATCTCCGTGGCAGTCGAGCGGAGAGCTTGAACAAAGGCAGAGACATCACGCTCGCCTTTCTTTTCGCCAAGAAGGTGATCTCGGAGCGTCATAACGCGAGATTGCGAGGTGCTGGCAAAGAGCTTGAGCAATATCGCCCATGCTTCAGCAGAGGTCTTCGCGGCGCTGATGTATGGACAGACGCCTTCGGTGACCGAAGCAAACAAGCTGCTAAGAAGAAGCTGATCCTGGCGAAACCAGTGAGTATATTTGGGGTTTCGAGTTTCAGCACCATCGACCTGAATCGTTTCAACCGGCGGCGGGAGAGAGCCATCCAAGTACCCGACGAGATCAAGGCCATGGAGAAGGGAAAGCAGTTGAGCACGATAGGACGGAAAATTCGCGCCAGTGAGTTTCAACGGTAGTGACGCAGCGGGATTGATCGTAACCAGCTGAGATTCAGCGGAAGTCGCCATGAAGAAGGAGGCCGATGAACGTAGACAGCTCCTGGAAAATTTTAGGGTTTGTTTAGGTATCCAGCTCTGATACCATAATAGACTTTGAATGCTTGAATATTATTGAAAGTACAAGGGTATATTTATACCCGTAAGTTACATTGTACAGCAGATGATTGAGGAATACTAATTACATAAGGACAATGATATACAAAGTACACAAGGACTAAGACACGTCCCTAATACCTCATTAATATCAGCTATTGATTTACAATGCGAAGAGTGTGTGAAAAGTTAAAATTTATTTTCGGACTTCTTTTAATGATTCGAGGTTATTCTTATTGAATACCCCAAACAAAATAAGTCGAGTTATGAACGGGATCCACAAGTAGTTAACCTTCCAAAAAAAATTAATTCACTCAATGTACAGAAATTAATTATTGTGATGATTAAACCCCTTTATATATCTCAGTATTTAAAATTGGTTTTGTGCCGACAAGGAAGGACAAGTTGGAAGGGCCACTTGTAATTAGCACATCATATAGTTGTCATTAAAGCCTACTAATTAATGATTCCCAGCATCAAATCGGTAAATCCAAAAGAAATCATCATTCATTACATAACAATCCAAATGTGCTTATTAGAGAGGGTTCAACTTTTAATTCGTGTTAACGGAACTTTGATTGGTCTTAAGGTCCCATGATCTGAATTCACCCCAACCCATCTGAGCAGTGGCGGATCCAGGAATTCTACGTAGGGGTGTTCTCTATAAAAAAATTAAATTAAATAATTATTAAATATAAAAATATCTAACTAATAAAAGTTTCATTAAAAGTTCAGATGTGCTTCATCAAATGATAAAATGCATTCGGTGTTTATACTGCTCAACAAATATCTCTCGACATATCTTACTAGACAAGGATATCCCGTAATTGAGTTTAATCGTTAGGTTTTGAAAATAATTTGAGATAAGAATAACATTTTACGATTATATTTGGATCTAAAACACAATAACAAATGAGTTGTAGCGTAATTGAAAATATATTAACTAATAGTGGCAGTGTCCCAAATTTAAATCACATAAACTACAACTTAAATATTATTTATACCAATACGCAAACTACTACGGGAGACTGGATAATCATTTTCTCAAATTTTAAAGGTGTCCCACTACCACTTAAACATTTTTTTTTCTCATACGCAAATTACTATCGTAGGTTGAATAATCGTGTTTCCAAATTTTATGGGTGTCCCGAGATACCCCTAACATGCATGTATCCGCCACTGCATCTGGGGAATTAGAAGTCGATAGATTGCCAAAGTTTATGATATAGACGGAATTAGTTCGGTTAAAAAGATTGTAAATTATAAATTTGACCAACAAGTGCTTAGTATTTAGTTGTAATACCAACAATTTAAAACTTGGAGGTTTCAAATTCAAGTATCTTAAATAGTATCAAACTAAAAATTAAACATATATCATTCTTATAATTTTTTTTATAAATTTGGAGAATGATTCCGATTTAAATATTCAATTTCTTACTAAATCCTGGCTACGCCACTGCATTGGTCACAATGCATTAATTTAACTTTCAATTAACTAATCACTTCCCTTCCTCTCTCCTCTTACTAGTTTCAAATACATATATGGGATTTGAGGTTGCTGTCGGCTACCATTTTGGATGGGCGGTAGCCCTAAGCTTTTCATTTTTGTCTTTCTTTTTTTGGTGCTTTGCTCATCTTTGGTTTTTCTTTCTTTCATTTTCACATCGCTGATTGCTTCTTTTGTTGTTTCTTTTCCCTTTCCAGATTTTCTCCATCCTAGTGATGATATTTTCCGATCTCCCCGAGGAGATACTTTTGTCGATCTGTGTGGATGTTCTCTCTGGTAGGTATTTGAGGGGGTCGAGCTCGTCAGTTTGCTTGCTCCTTTCTGGTCACCGCCACATGTTCCATCTATAAATGGGGATGATTGGGAGATGTATGGACCATGGCTGTCTTGGATGAAGATTCAGGGGGCTTGTGAGCTGGAATGGCACTGTTGAGGATGAGACCAGCTGAGGGCTCAGATCGGAGATGTTTTGGTCGCCTTTCTTCTGTCCAGGACTCGGATTGCTCTTTGTCTTACTCGTTTCGTGCAGGTGGAGCTCGGAGCTGGATCTGAGACTGGTTCCCCTCATTGAGGTTTCTGCTCTTCCTTTTTTCGACATGTCGAGGGTCTGCTGGAGGCGGTGGTGTTTTGGAGCCCTCGTCTGCTTCCTCCGTCGTTCCCCGATGATTGGTCACGTGAAGCTGAAAGGATGTCGGCGTCTGGTTCTCGGTGGTGGGGGATGCTTTCGGCAGCCATCCTCTGTGTGTTAGGGCTAGCGGGTTTAGGATTTTGCTTGGGGTGGGCTGGTCCACGTGTTTGGACATGGGTTTTGGGCTTGCGAGTCTTGGGCCTTGTTGTTCCACTTTTGGTTCAATCCTTTTCCATTTGGTTCTTTCATCCTTCCTTTCAGTGTTGTTTTCTCTGCACACCGTGTTTCATTTTTAATGAAACAACCAACCAACGTTCAATAAAAAGTATCACTAAAACCAAACTACCCCTTAAGACTGTCTCCAACCCTGGATGCCAAATTTAGAGAAGTGGGGGTTTTCCCCTTTTTTGATCTCCAACCCAACAAAAAGTGGGGATGCAAATTTGGAGAATGGGAGTTGGGGTGGATAGATAGCCGGAGAAATAGAAGGGAAGGCAAAAATGCATCCTGCAAGTGGTGGTTTTGATTGGCTGGTTTGGACTTGGGAAGGCAAAAAGGTCTATCGTGGGACCCTCCACTTTCCAGCTGTTTTATTCTTTTTTTTTTCATTTCTTTTGTTAATTTTTGATTGGTTGGTTTTGACTTGGGAAGGTAAATTTAGAAGGTATAGGGTTGGAGCAAATATTGTATTTTGAGAGGCAAAGATGGATGTTTGAGAATTTGGGAAGCTAAATTTAGCTTTTGGGTTGAAGTTAGTCTAAGAGTAGCGTCGAGCATTTATAGGGATAAGAGTAGTGTCCCCAGGAGTACGTAGTGTCGAACATTTATAGGGATAGGAGTAGTGTCCAAAGCCATAATAAAACAAAAAATATATATATACATACGATGGATCTCCCATCTACTTATAGTTAGTTACATCTTTAGTAACACACCTCACTAAGTGAATCAACTCGACGGATTGATTGGAATAGTAATGGAGCTCAGTAGTTGGAATTCAGGAAGAACAAAACATAAAGGGAAACAAAGGAGGAGGGAGAGAGAGTAAAAATATTGTTATAATCACTCATAACAACAGATCTGGAATGAAACCCTAAAGCTTGATCCATGTCATTCATCTCAATCGAATATATATGGTTGTTCTAGCACTAACAGACAACAATTGCCAGCTACTAACAGTACAAGTTTGTTGTTTACTTCAAAAGGAAACTACTCTATCTTGGACGAAAAGCAAACGGATGCTTTAATTAAACGGAACGTCGCCGCGTAGAGGAAACGTCGTGTAGCGAACAAAGAAAGGCTACAGGGGAACAAAACGGTGTGCATCGACTTGTCTTCTTTAATGATGATCCCAAAAGGCGGAGTAGCCGTTGGAATTGAAAATTCAATGTTGAAGCTCTGTTAGCTCATGACCATTATCAGCAGTGACGTGCAGTTATTTACACCTCATCCTGGCATTTTACAGTTTCGTCTCTTCGTTCATTTATTGTTACTCGCTAGTTCAATTATTAAGCTACCCTTACTTCTATCTATATACGACGTTACAAGGAAGGAGGATTCGTTACTTATAAATAGTGATGCATTCACTCCTGGTCTAATGAGTTAAGGAAACTGACTTCCAATTATATTTCTCAATCTCTTAAGTACCAATCATCAGTTTAAAAGTTATTGTATACCATAATTGAAATGACAAAATTCAACCCTTGAAAGAAAATTGAGGAATTAATGAGCTCTCTATAGGCTGTAGCTAGCTAGCTTCATTTTGAAAGCAACTGGTTCCAACCCCCCCATGAGGCTTAATTTAGTTTGAATCTCCTGCTCATGAGCATCCTTACATCAAATTCAATGGGGTCCTAACCATCAATAATCAATCTTTGGGGGGAAAAGAAGACAAAATGTTTGTGTATTACTCAATCCATACTATCCTATATTATTACAATATATATACTTCCAAAACCAGGACCTGGTTTTGTTGCCCTCTTATTATGATTTGCTCCCCTTTGTGCACTTGTTGGCCATAAGAACTCTCTCTCTCTTTCTCTCTCTAAACAACACATGGAGGGATGAAAACCCTTCACTTCTTCTTTTTCCCTTCTTGCTATACAAAATAAAAAAAAACAGCCAAATTACAGGAGCTAGCTGCTAGAAGCTAACTTCCAAGTCCTGATCTCCTCAGAACCCCATTACCTTCCAACAACAATCACCCCTTTCTGCTTGTTTTCTTGCCTTTGTTTTGCTTCAACCAGTGAAGACGAAGAAAACAAACAAGAAGAGGGTCTAATTACCCTTCTTTTTTTTTTTACCTTTTATCATCCATGTCAAATATCACAGGTGGTGGTGTGAGCTTATTCTCTTCTGGGAACACAAATGCTGGTGTTGGTGTAGAGCAAGAATTACTATTACCTCCCCAACAAGAAGAGAGTCTAATTACTCATCCTCATCCTGTTCTCAAGAAAAGGAGAAATCTCCCTGGCAACCCAGGTCTGCTTAATCAACTCAATTCCTCTCTAACCTCTCACTGAGCTAATGAATCCAACTATTTCTTGAGCTTATAGTTCTTCTTAATTTCTTACTCTTTCTCCAATTATCAATATACGACAAACTCATAGGAAGTTATGTTAATTATGAATCGACAACTCGAATTATTTGAACTACCTCTGAAAACCATAATATGATCTTTTCGCCTTTCATATTATAGATCTCATTTTTGTAAAATAGTTTGGAGAGGGGATAATACAAATCCGACCAGGAAGCCACACACAGATATGGCTAAAGCCAGCTTCCACTTTTTCCGCCATCTGAAAACCCTCCTTTTCTGCTCCATCTTTTGTAATATTCTGTCTTAGTTCTTGTTTTTCTTGTGCCTCTCTCCAGCTAGCTTAGCTAGCCAGATGAATTATTTGGTGTTAAAGCAGGGTGTGAAAAGAGCAAATGGTAGAGACCAAGGTTGTCAAAGTACTATTTGATCGGATGGTTCAACCAGGTCCAATCAGAACTGAATATTAGAATGGTTGAAATATGCTCCGGTTTGATGGTTTTCGAATATAGTCAAATTGGGTTAAACCAGTTAAAATCAGCCAGGCTGATCGGATTTGAAAATGAAGATTGATAATTTATTAATTTATTTTGAAGAAATAATTTGCTAATGTAGATAGTGATATTGTTTTAAAATTATGTCAAATATATGTGTAATTTATTTGGTATTAGAGATTTTCCCACATATTTTACTAAAACGGTTTAAATTGGTTGAACTCCATTGCCAAACTGGGTTAATGGCTTAATAGAATTTGACAACCTTCACAAAGACATAGATCATAGTGGTGGAAAGAAAACTAGTCAAGAATTATTGTTTCAGGGAAAAAAAATAACTCCTAGCTAGCAAAGAAAAATAAATACTAATAGGATTGCATAATTGGAGTTCAATTATTGGATGGGATATCTCAATCATTGCATCTGACTGTTTATAATGTTACGTGAATTAATTAATTATTATTCCTCTCCGATGCAGACCCAAAGGCTGAGGTGATAGCTCTGTCCCCAAGTTCACTCTTGGCCACAAACAGATTCATATGCGAAATATGCAACAAAGGATTTAAGCGGGACCAGAACCTGCAGCTCCACAGGAGAGGCCACAACCTCCCCTGGAAGCTCAAGCAGAGGAACCCCAGTGTCGAGGTCAGAAAGAGGGTCTACGTCTGCCCCGAACCGGGCTGCGTCCACCACAGTCCGGCTCGGGCCCTGGGCGATCTCACGGGGATCAAGAAGCACTTCTGTAGGAAGCATGGGGAGAAGAAGTGGAAGTGCGACAAGTGTTCCAAGAAGTACGCGGTTCAATCGGACTGGAAGGCTCATGGGAAGACCTGTGGGACTAAGGAGTACAAGTGTGATTGTGGTAACGTCTTCTCCAGGTAAATTAGAAAAAAAAAAACTCGATAACCCTTTCGTTCTTGAATCGATTTCATCTTCACATTAAGGTTTAAAAAAGCGTTAGGCGTAAGTGGGTGTTGGAATTGGCGGAGCCAGCCTTGTGACATATCCAATATGTTGAGGAAAAATTATTAATCCCTAGTAGGTGAAGTGCGAATATTATACATTTACGTTAATATGAGAAGATTTATAGAAATAAAATAAAATAAATGAAATAACTATCAAAAGATACTTATTTGAGAGTATTAATAATATAAGTTTTTTGTGATTTTTTTCGTGATATGAAAATTAAAAATACGTCGTATTTGTTTATACAAAATAAAACTTGCATAATTTGGTTATTTTGCTCCACAAAGCAACTACCCTGTTTATTAATCTTCCAAGTATATATTTATATAGTATAAAAGAACACTCTTTATTCTAATTTTAGCTCTGCCACTGGGTTTTGGATCTTTTCTAGGATCTAACTTGATTGTAAATTGAAAAATAGAGAAATAAGAAAGAAGTAGCTAAAGGAGCAAATTGTCAACAATGTACAGAAAGTGGACCCCATCGGAAGTTAGGAACTAAAATAAATTCTATGTTAGATTACTAAATAATAATGCAACTTAATTAATCTGCATGCCATTGCTGATGAAGAATAAGATGGCGTGGATTGTATAAATATGATTAAATGGAGGACTGCAATGAATAAACTAAAATAAAATTGTAGGGATCGAGTTGTCGTTTGACTTCTTTAGTGTTTGCAAGCTAAGAAGGAATATTTAATTAATTTAACGAGATTGACAAACGTTTGCTGTCCTTATAGAAGAAGGGAATTCAGCTCATTTATGGCTTTATTGTACTGCCTTCCTCTTTTTCCCTCTAGTCTCTCTTTGATTGCCTCCTATCCTATGAATGTTCTTGTTGTTAGACATTTAGCTAAAAGTACTGTGAATCACACAAAACACCACATTAGACATTCACTCTATAGCCCAAGTTTTTAAGTTCTAGAGGGGTGCGGTATAGGGCAAGTAAGTTTTAATTATCAACCCAGACTGATCCATGTACCCATACTTCAATTGCTTAGGTTGTTATTTAGCAAGCAACTTTTGGGTTTAGAACTAATGGAACTACAACTAAAGAAGCAAAGAAAAGTAAATAAAGGAAAATTCTAACTAAGCGAGCTTCACCCAGGAGTTGCTTCCCCCTAACTAGCTACTATGACTCGTTGGATTGAATGGAGTCGTGTGGGATGGGGGTTGTGAACCGCGAGGGTGAGCAACTAGTGATCGATTTGTCACTGAATCAATTCACTAGTGATCGATTTGTCACGGGATCGATCCACTCACGACGTCTAGGGGAACCGCTAGGAGGAGCAACTAGTGATCCATTTGTCACGGGATGGATTCACTAGAGATCGATTTGTCACGGAATCGATCCTCTCACTCAATCTCTAGGGGTTGCCTAGGTCTCTCCCTCAAACCGGAATTTGAGCGGCTTAATCACGACCAACCTAGATGCAAACTTGAGTCAAGGGGATGCTCATCTCTAACCTAGATAGGAAAACCAAGCTTGTCAAGCCTACCTAAAAAGGTGTGGTTTTCCTCTAATCTAGGTTAGGTAAGCAGACAAGATTTGGAAAGCACAATCACCATGAAAACACCTCTAATACTCAAATTGATGCAAACTCATACAAAATCATTCAATCTAAACAAGTAATTACAAAGTATTAGTTAGAGATCTACAGCACACAAGAGAAAAGAGTGAGTTTCTAGAGAGAGAAGAGAGGGATTACAAATTTGCGCTCAAGATCTTCTTCTTCTTCTTCTTCTAGGCTCGAATCCTTGTCTTCAAGATCCACCCAAGCCTCCAATGATGCTCCAAGATCACTCTAGCACTCTCTCTCTCTCTCCACCCCCCCCCCCCCCCCCCCCTCACACTAGAACTCCCCTTTGGTGTTTTTGGGCAAACCCTAGAGAGGGAATTGAATTTCTCTCCAAAAACCAGCTCTCCCTTCTCTATCCCCGATGTTGTCTTCATACTTGCCTGTCGTCTCCAAAATGCACCGCTTCGCTTTTGTTGTTCACGATCATTGGCCCCAGTTCACGATCTTAGCGACCGTGAACTCCTTTGGCGTCAGTAACCTCCGAAACCTCGTTGGACTGCTCGATGTTCACGGTTTGTTACTCCTTTTCACGATCTTAGGAGATCGTGAACTCCCTTGTTTGACCGTGAACTGCGGCTGCTTCCTGGACGACTGCACTTCACTTTTACGGGGCAATTGTCACGGTCTTCGGACTTTTCTTCGGTTTTTGCGCTTATTGACCTCCAATTATCCCAAAATTCGACCTCCACCCTTCCACACGTGCTAGGACATGAAATATATCAAAACAAGCACAACCTAGCGTGAAATATGTCGAGGGACGATGAAATACTAAGCTAAACGAATAAGAAATGAGGGGTAAAATGTGTATATTTGGGCCCGAATCATATTGATTAATTTAGGCATTTGGAAAAGTTCTCTAATGATCAAGATGAAACATGGTATTTATGGTATATTGTCTCCATGTGGATTTCGAAGGGCTTAGAAGGATAAATCCCTTAAGAGGCTTGCAAGTTTCTCATGCGAATTGAATTAAAAGCACGATGTAGATAAGATAGCATATGCATATCTGATCAATATCGAGCCTTTAGTCTGATCTTCTTCATTGAACTCCCTACTACTATACAATTTTAAACGGAAAGAATACAGTAAATCAAAGTTGTGTATTTCTGCTTCTCAATGTAGTATAAAAAATTTAGTAATAAAATAATTAACAAAATGTTTCCACACCCTTTCCATTTATAATTGTTAACTTTTGCTTCTTTTACCCAAATGCAGGAGGGACAGCTTCATAACTCATAGGGCATTCTGCGATGCCCTAATTGAGGAACACAACAACAACGTCAGCACTTTAAACCCTCCACCAACTCATGTAATGATCAATTCATCACAAACTCAACCAAATAATCACGGTATTAATAATAATAATAATATTGTTATTAAAAACATTATTACCTCACCACCACAAATTGACCATTTTAACCCTCTAGACACCAAGATCAACCCTTTCATCGTGACCTCTTCACCAATAAGACCAACCCCATTTTCAACTGCCGACAATTACAACTTTATCCCTACAACCTCCACCGCCACTACTACACCTGCTCCTAGCCTCTTCTCTTCCACCTCCTCCGCCACCTCACCACCATCCTCCCTCCACCTCACCACCAATTTGTACCCACTCTTCCCTCTCGACGTGGACCATCCCGCCAGCTCAGTATCCATGTCAGCCACCGCGCTTCTTCAGAAGGCCGCCCAGATGGGGTCCACACTCAGCAGCGTGGCGCCAAAACAGCTTGGCAGAGACCATCATCAAGGATTCATGGACCAATTCTTCCACGTGGCGGGAGGAGGAGTACTATTCAACGGGAACTTGCCAGGCTGTCACACCGGCTTCTTCGACGACGGCGATAGTGATAATAGTAACGCTACCGCTTTGTTAATGAACAACTTTGGTGGCGGGGATGTGATGACGACGGTTGACTTCTTGGGGGTTAATACTAATGGTCGGCCGGCGCCGTCGTCTACGTCGACAATTGCGAGGATTAATAATATAGTTCCGGGGTTTTCGCCGCCGATTTGAAGCACTACTTTCGCCGGCGCATCCACGCACGGAGGGCATTAGTTATTATTTTATTATTATATATAATAATCGGAAAAGTTGGTTGATTAACTAAAGTAGTGAATTAGTGATCATCATTTACTTTTTCAAGTTTCGTTTGGTGATTTAATTTTTCGGAGCCTTGCATTGTCCTCCTAAAGAGCGGGCCGGATCGCCGTTCATATATATGGATGAATTCTTCTTAATTAGTAGTGCAACTTTCATACCTGGTTTATGGTAAGTATGGGCATGTTGGCGATACCTGTACTTGCCCTCTGTCAGATTGGATAATTTATTAGAGGGTACAAATTGTAACAGATCAATTCATATAAGTATATAATTTAAAAAATATATATTAAAATGTTCATTTTTCATTAAAAAGCTAAGAAACAAACTATAATATGATATATTTAATTAAATTATTCTAGAAATTGAGTTTCTCATTTATTTGCAACTTCATTATAACTAAAATATGCGATCATAATAGTAAAATTCTTAATAATTTGAGTAAAGTTACATGTAATTTAGACAAAAGCATGTGTATAATGGGACAGGTCTGGTCGAAATCTTCACCCCTAGTGGTAGGATACCGTATTGTTTGTTGAATTAAAAATTACCTCAAACCTGACTATTTTTTTTAACAATCAACCTGAAAATTTTATTAATTGACTAAAGCATCATGTTCCAAAATAGATAACAAAAATATAGGTGGTCTTCCGGTCCAAAACTCCTCTACCTGGCTCAAGATAGGGTGAGTAACCTTAGGATGAGTAACAATGAGTAACCAAATCTGGACCCTTCTCTTAAGTGACTGCAGTAGGGCTGGCTATTTGGACCGGGACCGGATGAAAAACCGGAAATCGGACCGTATAACCCGGACCGAGACCGGACCGAGACCGGATAGTAAACAATCCAATCCAATCTTTGGGCTTAGATTTGAGGTAAAAAACCGGATAAAGACCGGATAAGAGAGCTCAACACCCAAAACTTAAGGGTAATTTGCATAAACGGTCACAAACCTTTGCACTTATTACAAAACTAAACCAACTCCTCACCCTTTTAGGCCTTAGGCCACTCAAATTCCCACAATCTCAATATAAAACCAAGACCGAATTGGGACCGGACCGGATCAAGACCGGACTGTATCCAATCCAATCTTCGGTCCTTATATTTTCAAAAAAACCGGACTGGACCGGATCAATTTGGGTCAATTTAACCGGACCGGACCGTATAGCCACCCCTAGACTGCAGATCTAAGGGTGAAGAATTAAAGAAATTTATTTTCCCTAGTTTTCTTAATTAGATCATATCTTCTTCATTCTAACTCGGATTTCAATTTTTTTTTGCATAGATGGAACGAGTTCGTTGTGCTCTACAAAATGATATCCATTTTCAATATTTTTTGAGAAAATTTTTTTCATCCCTCTCGTTACAAACTCCATACCATATGGTATCTCCTTCGTTGTTTAGTCATTTTCGGAAATTTTTACACAAAAGAAATGATTTAATCATGATCTATTGGATTTCAAAATTTTCTGGGGGAAAAATTTTCAAACCTCTCGTTACCAACTCCATACAATACTATCCACCCTAGTATGAGGTGGTATTTTTCATACCATATGGTATGCTGTTATTTAATACCATATGGTATTGGTTGGTATTAAATAACAGCATATGGTATTGACTGATATTTTTCATACCATATGGTATGCTGTTATTTTGATACCAGTGAATATCATATGGTATAGTCAACGGTAATAACTGGCAAATTTTTTTTGTTCCAAAAAATATCAAAGTGGATATCATTTTGAAGAGCACAATTAATCTGATCTAACTGTGCAAAAAAAAAATTTCGAGTTAAAACGAGTGAGAAATCGTCCGTTAACGATTAAGGGAGAAAATTAATGATTTTTCCAGGAGAGAGAAGGAGAGGCGAGGCTGATGTGGCAGATTCTTATTAGGTTATGCATGAGTTATTCACCACAAGGTTACTCACCGGATCTGCTCCCCTCTACCTCCCAATAACGTTGCATATGGGCCAACAGGTGGGTTGCCTGATTGCACTATCTTCTTCTAATTCCAACAATTTCCAGGATTAGTAATATGGTTTTGCGGCCGCTTTGAAGCAGTGCTTTCGCCGGCGCATCTACTAATGGCGCGCATTAGTTATTAATGTTACTAGTACTCAGCCCGCGCTCCGCGGCGGGGTAAGTTTGACTTCAGTTATTTTGTGGATTCTGCTATATGACACGAAAATAGTTGATATAGTTGGTTGAATTCCAAAATGATAGAATGGGAGATTCATTGCAGCAGACTGTGCAGAAATGTAATGGGGATTTAGTTTGTCAAGGCATATAAACAAACGACAGTATTAGATGGCCTCGATGAAATCCAAAAGTTTGTGCACAGCACATAAACGCATCTGTCATTGTTTTGTCTTCATTGAAGATAGAGAATAGAAACTAAGTTCAAAATGGAGGATGGTAGGGTTGAATAAGATACTTCAGTAGGTCTTTCTGTCATTGGTGCTGATGGTCACTTGTCTATTCTTGAGGTATGCCAAAGTGTTGGTACTCTTATGTGGGGTACGGCCGTCGTAGTTCTATTCTTCAGATCTGAGGAACCGATGTAGAGCTCTCCTGCAAACATTCTGCTACATCTTTTGACCAGCAACGCCTTGGCTTATTCTGCATCGAGTTTTTTGTATTTGTTGGGTGACATTCCGATTATTGAGAGCGTAGCCTCATGGTCCAGTATGACATCAATGTCATCAGTTCCTTGCTTGCATTTGACCTCCAACTCATAGTGCAGCCTATTTATGAATATAAGTTCAAAAACGTGTTAGCTTATTCGTAGATAGACTGACTTGCATGAGATGTAATTGTCATATTGAAATAGAAAACTTACTCTGGCCAATCCTCAGTTGCTCGGCATATGGCTTTTCGAAATTTCATATGTGAGATGTAGAACTTAGCACGATAGAGTACCTAGTATGAACATCAGATATTGATAAGACATGGGTCTACGTAAAATGCAGGTGCACAGTATAGTCATTTGCTATATATTTTATCCCTTACGAACCTTGTGGCAAGTCTGATCAGATGCAAGCATATTTTCTATGTCAGTGAGTGTCTTCTTTTCGATTCCTGATCGAAGGCAGCCTGTTTTCTTACCGGTATTGGCATCCATGTAGTAGACTTGCCTGCGACTATAAAGGAAACTGGTTGTGGCAAAAAAAAAGTAACAGAAGTGTTAATTGAATTTGTTTTGGCCGACTGGCAGTAAGTATGATTCAAAAAATGAATAGGATTCTGTCAAACTAAATTTACATGTGCATGATTTCCCGGACTGGGACTGTATAAGATCTGATTATCAGCTCACTGGCAGGAGTGGATTCGAAATGATACTTGTATTTCTGGCTGGATAGAGGTGCCACCCGAATGACAGATTTGATTGTAACAATGAGGGGCAAATGAGTCTCAGCTGTTGGGGCATTCTCTAAGAACTTCGGTATATCGTATCCACGATACTGAACAGTTGCCTTAGCGCCACTGTCAGCGACACAAATATGTGAGGTTGTTTATTCATACGATCCGCAAATCAAAATTTTATTCTACAAAATGTACCTCACATCCTGTACGACCATGTGAAATTCTTTGAGAGTACTGCGAATTGTTGTGGGAACGTTGAGACGCCTAATGCATACGGTGATGTCTATAGGCAACAGAACAGTTTGTCATTTTCAAGTTTAAGTTCATTTTACTATGGCGAATAGATATAGGTAATGTACCTGTATGATAGTCGATGGTGTTTTTCTTAAGTGGTACTATTGGAAAAAGCCATCTCGATGTCCCAGCCAACGGGCAAGCGTGGCTCATCTGGGTCCTCCTCAATCCTGGAAATGTTTTGATCGACGGTTATGTGCACCCTTAACTCTCCTAGGACGATCTTTGGATTTTCTCTTGCTGGTATTGCTTCAACCGAATCAAACCGATAAAGGTTCCCGACCTTTATCTTGCGAGAAATCTCGGTGATGTCTTTTTCATCAACCATCGACTCGATCAATCGTGCATGTAAGGAAAACAGTTTAGCGGTTCCAAATTGTGCATTATATTGGTTTAAAATTGTTTATGAAAAGATTATGTAGTTTTGTAACTGAATTACGAACAAACCTTTTTATCTATCCAAATCATGTGCATGCTGAGATTTTTAAGCTTGGGTGCCTCTCGGTACTCGAGCCACGTAATCACGGGCCTAGCAATTACTGTGCGAATGTTGGTGCCCAAACGCAACCCCCGAAATGGCATGCAAGTTTCAATCGGATCTATAATAAGACAGTAAAGGGAAGTGAAATTCATATTTTATCTTTTTTGCAGAGGATTCGAGATTCCTGGCAGTATTCTTTAACAAAAATGGAAGGTATTCACCTTTGTTATCGGTGGGGACCATGTGAGCGTCCTCTGTTGACTGGTGGTTTTTGGGCAAACCCTCCATGTTAGGTGGGGTCTCTCTGCAAACAACGTGAGCGGCGATCAGAAGTTGTTTTCCAAGTGTGAAGGCGGTGAAGAAGAGGAGGACGTGGAGTTACCTTTGTTTTAGAGCTTGTCTTGTATTTTCGGTGGTGGGGCTTCCGCGGCAGAGCAAAGCCGATGAAGATGTGGACGGCGGATCTGGTTGATGAAGGTAGTTAGGGTTTTAAAAGGAAATGTTCATTTTGGGGGGGTTTCTCATGGGCTTTAATCTGTAGGCCTAAAGCATCTTCGGGCTGGGCTCAAAATCATTTCATTATCATCAAAACGTAAAAAAACGGGTCCTCAGTTTTGGTAAGCGTCTAAGGCCGAAGCTGCTTGGGCCATAGTAGATCCAATATATTAGCATATGCCCAGAAATTTTAATGGGCCTGAGATGTTTGCAATTTCTGAGAATTAAGAAACTATTTGATCCATTATTTAGGCGATTATATTTCTTGACTTAAAGCAAACTATCTATGCAACCCTGAAAAACTAATTCCCACAAACAAAGATGAATACATTTCTTTACTACTTATCATCTAGACATGTAATTGAGACAAGCTATTGACCTCTTTGGATTGACATGGTTGCATCAGGGTATTACTGCAATCCTACAAAACACATAGTTTTTGTTAGGAAAATTTGCTGGTAGAAGTATCGAGTAGCTTGTTCAATTTAACGCACTCACCTGATATATGGTTTAGGTGTTCATAATACCAGCAAAGGCTTCGGTGAAGACTATGTTCCTTGTAAAATCGTAGGGTATTTCTGCTGGGTTTTGTATAAGAATCCTCAAACCTCTCGCTGATTTTACTCTTGAAACCCCCACATATAGCTGGCCATGGCTAAATACGGGTTCAGGCAAATAAATCCCAACTTTTTCAAGTTTTTGTCCTTGGCTTTTGTTTATAGTCATTGCGTAACATAAGCGTACTGGGAACTGCCTCCTCCTGAGTATGAAGGGCCACTTGGAGTTCTCTACATTGAGTACTATTCTTGGTATAATGACTTCGTCAGTGTCGTAGGAACCGCCCATGATGTTGCCTTTTATAAAATTATCCCCTAATGTTGTGATCATGATTCTTGTGTCGTTGCATAAACCAAGGGCAGGATTTAAGTTGCGCAAGAGCATAACTGGTGTGCATACCTTTAATGTAAGCTCGTGTTCTGGAACTCCATTGAATGTGAGAGTGTTGAGGAACTCTGTTGGATAGCTTTCGTCAAACGAATCCGTTGTTTCTGTTGATAACTGCAATGAATCTGAACTATAATATGTTTTAGTATTGCCTGGTACCCTTTGCAGCATATAGTCATTGATTCTAGAGACTGTCACATTCGTTGGCGTCACTATTGCTCTACTGGTTAGGTATGCTGGATCCCTGTGACTGTCGAGAAACAAATCATATATATCATCTGCGATTGACTGAACAGAGTCATCCCCGGGACCAATTAGGAACAGTGGTGGAATTTGTATCCAATCTGGTGACCCATCTTCTCTGAACGATCTTGCTCTAAGTCTTCCATCTCCTAAGGCAAGGACCCAATCTGGAAACGTATATCTGACACGCTAAAACACAACACCTAACAATGGCCAAGTGTAACCAATGAAAGGGACTGCAGTATAGGCAAGTTTAATTATCAACCCGGGGTCTAGATCTACTGCTTACTCCGTGATTCTCTATTATCTAGCAAACTAGTTCGAGTGATTGTTGTGAAAAGTAAAAGCAACAAGAAAGCAGTAAATTGTTCGGGTTTCTAAAGCAGGCAAGAGTCACTCGGGATTGAGTCCCCCTAGCCCCTTAGTTAGGTTCAATTGCAATTCCCTGGGTTGATTTACTGTTGATTAGACTGCGGAAGATCCGACAGTAGCTTGGAATCTCTTAAGCTGACCAAGCCCTCTCAGTCTAACTACCCGGCAGACGACTAGTCTTCACCGGGATAGAAAGCTGAGGCTATGAACACAGAACTCCACTACTGGCGTCAAGAACACCAGTACAAAGCAGTAAACTGGCTAACTCTCGTATAGCCAATCTCCTACTATCGAATGAAGAGGCTCTAACAACCTAATCAGATTCTATCTATCTCAGGTTGCAGCAGAAATTGAGAAAAGCTGATCAGACTCCAATCAATTCAATAAACATGCATCATTCGATTAAAATCAAACAGTAACATCATCCCAAGTCATTACAATCAAATCCCTAACGCAAGGAACTAGGGTTCTTCATACCCAAGTGAGAGAGAGGTTCTACTCCATAGAGTGAGAAAGGAAAACAGAAATCAGAGTAGCCATACTCATAAAGATGAGGAAAATCTGCTCTGGGATGTCAATCTTCACTCCTAGGGACGCAATCTGGGCTTCAATGATGAGAAATCCACTCCAAAATAGCTCCTAGGGTTTGTCCTTCGCTCTTTCTCTCTCTAAAACTCTGTTTTTTGCTCAGAAAATCGAATTCTTCTTCCTTGGCTCGAATCTGCCTCCAAAAACCCGACTCTGGGCGAATTACGGCCAGAATTACGGCCGTAATCACGTCCTGCCCATAATTCGCACCAAAAACGCACGTTTCACTTAAGCCGGAGGAGGAGGAGTTACGCCCGTAATTTCCCAATTACCGCCAGTAATTTGGGAATTACGGCCGTAATTCTTGGGGTCTTGCCCGTAATTTTATCACCGCGAGGGAATTCTGGGTAGAAGGCTCGGCCAATAAATTACGGGCATGCCCTGGCCAATTACGGCCGTAATTTGTCAGGGGCTGCCCGTAATTCTGTCTCCGCTCCTGTTCAAAGCTTCGTTTCTCCCTCGTCCGGACTCCAAATCAGTCGCCGTTTGAACCCAGACGCTCGTAGTCTCGTCCTCTTTCTTTTCATGACAAGCTTGCATGATTCTTTGTCCATAAAGTGAGGTAGAAATCCATTCTTCTTCAGGTCATACCCGAGTTTCTTCTCCCGAATCGTCAATTGATCTCTGATTGACTTGAAACTTGCGCCTATGCTTCACTTTATGTGCTAGGACCTGAAATGTGACAAAGGAACACAACCTAGCGTAAAATAGGCCAAGGAACAATCAATTCGAGCCAAAATGGGCAGGAAACCAGAGTGAAAACACGTGCAAATACGATGCTATCAAATTCCCCCACACTTAACTGTTTGCTTGTCCCCAAGCAAACACCAAGTACTACACAAGGTAAGCTCACATATTTCAGTCAACCAACATTGGGGACAAGTCATAAAGGCACAGAACACGTGAATCAAACTGGTTTTCAAACATCAACACATGAACAACTTTAATAGCAACCTGAACAACCACCACAAAGGACATTCGAGTGCAGCAAAATCGAGCAACGGAAGAGTTTCCCTTCTGTTCACCAACCAACCCAGACTTGACTCGACCACTCACTCAAAACAGTCAACTCATGCATCCAACTCAAGACATCAGAACAGAGACCGAGCAATCTAGGTCCTCACCGGGGTACAAGAGTATAGAGAATATGAAAATGTAATACGCCCCTGGGGGGTGTATGTTATCAAAGTAACGCAGCAAACGACTCAATCGAAGAATCGATTGAGCTCGAATCAAGAACGAAGCGTTCTTAATACGAACTTGGATAAAACGGAACCAAAAGGACGATTCCACACCTGGGGAACGCTCGATTGGTATAAAAGGTAGATGCCCGACCACGATCAACGCGTTCTTGATCGATACAAGAGCTCAACGAGCTTGGAATCCACCAAAGCTCACACAAGTACGCAAACTTGCAAAAACCCAAAGGTTTCGATTTCTATTCAACAAAGTCTCAGTTTTACAACGAAATAGAAAGCTTAAATAGGCCTAGCTAGGGTTACACACGTCCCATAAACTCCTAATTACAGTCTAATACGAAAAGTAATCAAAAACTACCAAAACAATGAAATCCTAACTAAACAAGAAAAGGAAAATCTGCATTTAGCTCCAAGTAACCAAACAGCTTTGATGCCATCTTTGAGCCTCTCGATCAAAGCCTTCCAAGTTTATTCGAACTCAACCAATTCCTTTCCTCTGTAGAAGAAAACTCCCTCTTTCACCTCCAACTTGAAACAGCCCGAGATCATTCTCCAAACTCCAGATATAGGCCTTCAAAGTTGGTATCTCAACACAGTTTTCTGCCTTAGATATTTTCTGGCAGTTTTCCAGTTTTGAGGTAGCAACTTTGAGACTTTGTAAAACAACCTTAATGACATCTTCTTGAGCAACCAAGCATACCAAGGTGTAGATAATCACTCCATGTTCAATACAAGCCATTAAACTTGAATTTCCATTGAGCCAATTGAGAGAAACTTGCCTCCAAAATTGGCTACTTGAACACGGAAAATGACACTGACAGAAATGAACGTTCTTCAGGCAGCTTGAGCTTGCTTCTTCGTCAAGTAATTCCAACTTGTAGAGTGGCCTATTTGGGATCATATCAAGCTCCCCCTCTTCAAAAAGCTTTGCCCTCAAAGCTTGTGCCTTCTTTTGCTCGAAATCTTCACTGAATTGCTCCCAAATTGGGTCGGCATAAGCTTGCTTGAACTTCCACTTTGACACAAAAATCCCCTCTTCCCTGCTCGTGTTGTCCCAATTGAGGACGCCTTCCTCAACCAATACTTCCCTCTCTTCATTCCCAAGCAATCTCTGGCCTATCTTGACGCAAATCAGCTTCGACAAGTGATCTGTCCATTTCCCAGAATTCAGCAACTTTGTGCCGAACAACGACCTATGCCCAGAATTGGAATTCACACAATCCAAGCTGCCATTCTTCAATTCAGGGCTCGAGGGAGCTTTTTCCATCATGGAACCGAACTTCTCGTCCGATTTTGCGCTTCGAATACCCCTGGGAAGTGATGAATGGTCATCTGCAGTTTTCCCAGCATTCTGAAAGTTGAACGTTTCTGCAGAATTCTGCAATTCTGGATTCTTTGGCGTTTTGATTTCCGGCCGATTTGAGTCGCTTTCTAGGTTCATAAACCTTCCACAAACATCTATGAACTGATTCCCTTTGCTGGTTTTGCTCGACTCGTGCTCAATCTCTCCGACAAGATACCCGTTTTCAGAGTCGGACTCTGGTTTTTGCAGAAGAGCTTCTGCAGAATTGGGACTTGCTGTTTGATGATTCATTGCGTCGATTCTTGCTAGGGAAATCATTCCTGTGCTAGTTTGGAATGTATCTGAAGCATTTATTTCCTTCGAATCGCCCTGTAGTTTATCTTTTATGTCTGCACAGTGAGAGCTCTGTTTTCCCGGCGAAAGACAGGGGTGCTGTCCTCCGACGGACTGCTGGTTTTCTTGAGCCATCATCGCTTGAACTAGGGCAGCCAAGGTTTTCTCCATCTCCTTCCAATGGCTTGTGTCGACTAGACTCTTGCTTTTTTCCATAGATTCCTTCACATCGACCGCTCCAAAACACGGCCTCTGTTTTTCCGGAGGAAAGCAGAGTCGATTATCTATGGCAGTCTGCAGCTTGTCGATCCCACGCTGTATCCGATCGAATTGGGGCTGGAAAGCTGATATGACCATCTGCTTTAACTCCTCGACGTTGATTTGTTGTTCTCCCATCATCTCCTTGTCAAAGAACTCCTCTACTCTGTATACTGCCCGCGAAGAAAAATAGACTGAAAAACAGAATTTTCAATCTCCTCCTTGCTCCTGCGTTGAACGGGGCTCTGATACCACTTAATACGCCCCTGGGGGGTGTATGTTATCAAAGTAACGTAGCAAATGACTCAATCGAAGAATCGATTGAGCTCGAATCAAGAACGAAGCGTTCTTAATACGAACTTGGATAAAACGGAACCAAAAGGACGATTCCACACCTGGGGAACGCTCGATTGGTATAAAAGGTAGATGCCCGACCACGATCAACGCGTTCTTGATCGATACAAGAGCTCAACGAGCTTGGAATCCACCAAAGCTCACACAAGTACGCAAACTTGCAAAAACCCAAAGGTTTCGATTTCTATTCAACAAAGTCTCAGTTTTACAACGAAATAGAAAGATTAAATAGGCCTAGCTAGGGTTACACACGTCCCATAAACTCCTAATTACAGTCTAATACGAAAAGTAATCAAAAACTACCAAAACAATTAAATCCTAACTAAACAAGAAAAGGAAAATCTGCATTTAGCTCCAAGTAACCAAACAGCTTTGATGCCATCTTTGAGCCTCTCGATCAAAGCCTTCCAAGTTTATTCGAACTCAACCAATTCCTTTCCTCTGTAGAAGAAAACTCCCTCTTTCACCTCCAACTTGAAACAGCCCGAGATCATTCTCCAAACTCCAGATATAGGCCTTCA